TCTCAGTGCTAAACAGACTGAGTTGAGTATCTGCCCCCTTCTCCCCCCCATTTTTTCCTTTATGAAAATGAAAACACAAGGAAATGTAAATTTCATTTTTGGGAACATCTAAAATTGGAAACCAAGAGCATTTTTATCTTAAACATTTTTAATAATATTATATTGCACACAATTGGCATGGAAGTGGGATATATTCTTTGTAGTTATACTTTAAATTTTCTCTTCATTAGAAGTGAAGTTTATGTGTTTGTTTATGTAAATTACATAGACCATTTTTTTTTCTAAGAGGCAGTGGGATTGGTATTAAGAGATCCAGATTTAAATTATGTTTTTACCACTTGCTGTGTGACAATAAATTTAACTGCCTTGGAGTTCATGTTTCTGTTAAAGTGGTAATAACAATACTAACCTCAAAGTGTTTATGTAAGGATTAAGATAATGGAAGTTAAAGTACCTACTACTAAAAAAGATTAGTTGGTTTTTAATCTTAGATATAGACATTTTCTAGTAGATTTGTTATAACAACAAGGGCAGGGGGAAACCATCAGTGAGTCATTGGGAGACAGAACATATTAGTATTCATTATTCTGAAACTACATATTGTTTTGTGGTCCAAAGCAGTTCAGATCATACCCATAGCTCTAAACTTTCTGACATTAATGCCCAGTTTCATTTAAATGTCCATTACATGTAAGTTACCTTAGTTATTTTTATGCTAACAATATTATTTAATGCCCAGCCGGCATGGCTCAGTGGTTGAGCGTCGACCTGTGAACCAGGAGGTCAGGGTTCAATTCCCAGTCAGGGCAAAATAATATAACAATATATTTTAAAAGTGTTATTTAATTATTAGAAAGAATAAAAACACAGTTTACCTCATAGCCCCTGTGATCTTTGTTTTACCTTGTTCCTAGGTTCTCTATTGGCTTATTATAAAGGTATGAGGTGTGCGTGTGGCAATATATGTGTTATTACATACATATTTGTATTTTTATCTAATATGTACACTATTTCATTAAAAAATTTTAAATATGCTTTTATTGATTTCAGAGTGAGAAAGGGAGAGGAACAAAGGGATAAAAACATCAATTATGAGAGAGAATCATTGATTGGCTGCTTCCTGCATACCCCACAGTGCCTGCAACTCAGAGAATCGAACCATGACCTCCTGGTTCATGGGTTGACGCTCAACCACTGAGCCACAGCTGCCAGGCTAATATGTACACTTTTACACATCATCCTCTTCCTATGCTGTACATTCTCCTCACTCCTTTTTATTTTATTGAAGAGATATAATTGCAGAGGATTTTATGAATTGCTACATGTGTGCTAAAGAATAAAAATGATTTTCAAACTTAGTACAGAGTGCAATTAGTTTTTATAGAAGACAGTATGTACCTGCCAAGTGGGTACTTTGAAAATGAAATTGTTTTTGATTGTGTGAAACTGCTTGAAAATGTGATTCTCCAAAGCTTTCTTTTTCTTATGGCAAGAAATCAGGGATATGCGAATTCATTATAATTAATGTACAAGAAGACTGGTCCTTCTTTTTCGCCTTTTTAAAATGCAACACTTAAAAACCCCAAATTTCTTTGGACCAAGAACAGTCTTAAGTATGCCCTGGATTTCAGATTGGAGGTGCCTGCTAGTGGTAGCTCCGAGTAAAGGAATCACCACCTGCAGAAGTGGTAGCACACTGTAGATATCCTTGTAACACACCTTTCTGGTACAAGGAGACATTTTCCTCTGCTACCTCCACTTACTCAGGACTGCAGTATCATGAGTTTACATTATAAGATAAAATACTAAATAGAAAGCACTGGTTTGTTCTGACAATGCGTCTTATTGAATGTCAGGTGCAAAATATCCACAATAGAACGTTGTTAGGGACCTGTTGTGTAACAGCTTTTGGGTTTGCTAAAGTGCCACGCTCAGATTTCTGATTCCCAGATATAATTTGGTTTGTCATCTCTTTTGGCTCTTGTCCTTGCCTTTTTGAATTGGGTGGTATGTTTCTGGAAAAGACTAATTAAACAGTGAGCTTCCAAAACAAAGTTGTTATTTACTTTATAGCGTAGGTGATGATTTAGAGGAAAAGCCAGGTCTGATCATTTTTGTCTGTAGATGTGGCAAGGATGCTAATTTACTGATTTGCGTGAGATATGACAGTTTGAAGCAGTAGCTTGGGGGAGAGCAAGGTTATCAGAACGGCCACTCTGGCTACTTCAGCTTATATAAACCCCTTTCAACTCTGATTCTCTCTGAGACACCCTTCGGTTAAGATAACTGGTTTATTTCGAGCAGTAATTCTCAAACCTTAGCATGTTTCAGAATCACTTCCAAGGTTTGTTAGTGCCCACACTGCTAAGCCCCAGACCCAGAGTTTTGATATAGATTTGGGGTGAGTCCCAGGAGTTTGCATTTCTAACAAGTTCTCATGTGGTGCTGATGCTGTTGGCCTGGGGCCACAGGTTGGGAATTGGGAAGCATTTGCCTCTGGTTCAAGGTGTGAGGGTGTAGGGGTGAGGAGTTTGTTAGGGAGGGAGGTGGGAAAAGATTGAAGAATGCTGACCATCTTGCTTAGGGTTTACCTAAAAGTGTTGACTTTGGATTCTTCTAGTGTATTATAAAGTTAAACATTAGGGAATGTTCCTCATTTTACTTTCAAATAGTACTTTTATTAATGAGAAAAGTTAAGGGTAGGAGGGACAATAGAGTTGATTATTTCTTAACACTGGCCTTCTTTTCCCCATCTGGTTCCTTCCTCTTCCTTGGACCTGTGCCTCTTCTTTCCCCATATAACACAAATATAGATAGCTGTCTTTCAGAAATGAGAAATGATGAGACAGTATATGAGGTTTCTTGGAAAAGTGGTGACATCAATTCAGATTACCATCATAATATAGACCTTATTCATTTGGCTTCTACGTATTCAGATTTTGCAGCAGTTAGGGCAGTTCTTGGGTTGAAATGTACCTTTGCAGTATTTCCAAAGCAAATCAGTGAGTGAGTTTAGGATATTGCCCAGGAAATTTAAATTACTTAATGAAAGACTGCTTTCAATTTATTTCAGTACTTCCACTTAATACGATTGCTTTATAATTAGAAATTAGTTTTATCTAATCGCTTACCTAAGCTACTTTTAACTTATAATTAGTATTTCTAAGGCTTCATTGACGTAGGAGTATAGAGTTTAGATTTCTTTACTTTAAATAACTGGTTTTGTTTTTAAACATAAAGTGCAAAATTATATCTACTCCTTACCCGTGCGTTTCAAACCCAACATTACCTTGGGGCATTCGTGTTTGTACCTGGTATTGCTTGTATCCAGTGGTGTGCATGCAGTTCAAAGAAGAAAATGTGGCCTTCAAAGAAGTTCTTTTGATATTGCCCGTAAAGCATTTTTTCAGCTCTTTCCTTTGAAAAATGCTCTGTGCTCAAATTTTCCTAGAATAAAATAACCCACCAGGTAAAGGCTCCCAGAGACCTAGGACATGCTTACTCAATGAAATGCAATGGAGCGGAAAGCATCCTGTCTGTCAGCCCCAGAAAATTGTGATTTTCCTGATCTAGTAGTTAAAGACAATTATATAATTTAATTTATGTGCTGGCATATACACATTAAATTATTAGGAGTAGCTTGCAATCTTTTGTAAAATTCTGTGTTGAAGTTTTGACCGGAAGGAATTAAAATCTGTAATAAATAATTTTTTGGAAGCAAATGTGAAGCTGTGTTGGAACTTCTGCTGCGCTTTTCTCCCCAACCCTTGTCCTCTTGGTGTGAAGACCAGCCTGAGTCAGACCATTGAGGATTAAAGATGAATGCATTACTCAGCACCCTGCAGGGGTGGGTCAAGCACCCTGGCTTTGAAAAGTTCCTCTTTTGCTTAGTAAGCCTAGAGACTTCAGGCCAACTGCAGAATGAAAGTTCAGTATTATTAACACAGTCTACTTGAAAATGGTCTCTCAGTCTTCCAGACATCCTTCCTCTCTGTGGTTGTATAACAGTGTCTAAAACCACTGACCGGATTGCCAGTGGATATTACCTACAGCAGCTATGTTGCCCGAGAGCTTGGTCTCCCTGAAGCATTCCTGATGGAACCATCCTTTGACTTGAATATGGAGCTTGGCATGTTAAGGGGGAAGGAGGGACATACTTATTTTAGTTTGGCAAATGGGAATGCAGGAACTTAGAGGAGCCTGTGATAACACTATTTTGAGGCAAAGAATGGGGATTCTGGATCAGATGCCTACTAAGGAGAAATAATTCTTTTTTAAAAAACATATTTTTATTGATTTCAGAGAAGAAGGGAGAGGGAGAGGGAAATAGAAACATCAATGAAGAGAGAGAATCATTGGCTGCCTGCTGCACGCCCCCTACTAGGGATTGAGCCCACAACCCAGGCATGTGCCCTTGACTGGAATTGAACCTGGGACCCTTCAGTCTGCAAGCTGACACTCTATCCACTGAGCCAAACCATCTAGGGCAGGAGAGATATTTTGATTAAAATGTTAGCTAGAGAAAGGAACACAGATAGCTTTTTGTGTTGATTGGAATGAGGGATATCCTAGAAGGACTGCAGGGGCCTGGGAGAGAGGACAGTAGGCCTGAATCTGGGGCCAGCTCTGCTGATAGGAGAAAGCCTGGCTGTGCAGGGGAGAGGAAAAGGAAAGGACACCTGGTAGGTTAGGACATGTGTGAAAGGGCCGTGACAAAAACCAAACCAAACCAGGAGTACATTTGCTTTTATGCCTATTGTTTTTTATGTTTCTTTCAAAGTATAACTTAACTTAAAATAGAGACTGGCAATCAGACTTTAACAAGTTATGGGAGATTTTTCATACTTTCCATTTAACTGTGTCTGCTCTCCAACCTTTATCGTAGCTAAAGCATCATCACCATGTCCATCATCATCTACTAGTGTTGATGAAATACACAACCAGAGTCTCTGTGCTTTTGAGAAGAAGTCTTTAATTAGGATTTGCTTTTTTTTTTCCAGGTAGCCCAGCCCTGACCCATAGGAATCTGACTTCCGCCAGTCTGAATGACATTTCTGATAAACCTGAGAAGGACCAGGTAAGCAAAGAATTCTTGCTCCTTTGAAATGTAAGACTAAATGCATATCTAGACGATGCTAGGAAAAGATTAGAAATGATAGTTCCCCGACTGAAAAGAACCAATATGTGTAGATGAGGTTTTTGTACTTTTTCTGAGGGAAGAGGAGGCTGTATGTGAAAGGGATTTGGAGTTCAGAACCCAAGAATTAGAGTCTTGACTTCAGCCTTTATAGATGTAGTCTCTTGGGCAATTTATTATAACTATAGTTGTATTAGATTTAAAATAGTAATAATAATAATAATAATCCCCACTTCAGGGTTATTGTGAGGATTAAATGAAACACTTTATGAAAAAGCGCATTGATAAAGAGCTAAAATTCTGGCAATTGTTCACTCTTGGGTATATTTTTGGGAAAGGTAGTGTAGTTTTGTTAGCTGAAGATTTGTCTATTAAAATACATAGTAGGTAGACTATTTGCAATGTAGAGCAATTAGGGTTTGAGTCTCAATTTTCTTTCTTTAAAAAAAAATATGGTAGAAACTGGGCCATTTTCCAGTTGGGAGAATATCTGGGGATAATAGAAAATGGTGAGCAGATACAATTTTGCATTGTGCAATAAAAACCAAAACCAGTTGTGTGGACTGAGTGGGTGAAATTTTTACCTGAATAAATAAATCTGAATTGTACATTTCTTCTTTATGAGGATGCTTCTCTTTAACAACATTTGTAAAAAGTACAGGGAAGATGAAAGTCATGTTCTTTCTCGTGAAATAGCATTTGGGTTCTTCCTTCTTCTCACCAGTAGCCCCCTAACAGGGCCATTATCATCTTAGACTCTGTTGCTAGAAAAGCCTTTGGAGCTAATTCCTTGTCTCCATTTTCTCACAATTTAACACTTTGTAAAATATTGCCCTTCCATTTCTCCCTTGGATTAAAAGCTTGTAATGGCTTCCTATAAAGTTAAGTTCAGAATTGCCTGTATGACTTCTAAGATGCTCTGAAATCTGATGTTATCTTTCTTATCTTAATTTATTTTTGTTCCCTAGAAGAGGGATGTTTTGCTTTGACCAGGCCTAATTTCCTCCCACTTTATATTGAGATTAATTCTTAACTCCTAGTTCTATTCCCCCTTGAAATGCTAATGTGGATAGCCCTCTTCCCCTCCCTTTCCTGCCTCTTGAAATGATGGGGAAAAGATCATTAAATATGAAATACAGCAGCAGAAAAGGGAAAAACTCAGTCGACTAGGACTTATTGAGAATTTCCCTCAACACTATTTCGCACATCTTGGTTCCATTCAGTATTTACCAAACAACATCTATATATATAAAAGGCTAACATGCTAAGTGTCTGACCATTTGGTAGACCACTCGACCAGTGGCTATGATGGGCACTGCCCACCAGGGGGTAGATGCTCTGGCTGGTAGATTAGCTTGCTGCTAGGGTCCAGCTGATCAGGACTGTGCGAGACGGGCCAGACAGGTCCTGGAGCCAACCTTCCATGGTCCCTCCTCGGCCTCTAAAATATTTTTTTCTAATAAATTTCTTTTCAGTGTGCACAAATTTGTGCACCAGGCCTCTAGTTTTTAAAATAATAGTTAATATTTATTGAGCATTTATTATTGGCCAGGCCCTAAGCTAAGAATTTATGCATGCCCATAACATGTGGTTGGTACAAATAAGGAAATTTAGGCTTAAAAAGATTAAATACCTTGTCCTAACTGGTGATTTTCACTAAAGAAGCAATAGGGAGTCTTAGAAAAGACCACTTAAGGAATGCTCCCTAGAAAAGTACTTGGTCAAATAAAATATGGGTGTCAGGGGCTCAATAGCTATGGTTTACATTATAGACTTTCAAGGGCTATTAAGTTGAAAAGAAAAAAAATAGAACTATGGGGAACCAACATAGATCCACAGTTTTTACATGTTATATGTGATTGTTTTCTTTTTACAAGTACATCAGATATTAATTCAATAGCATCAACTTGTTCTGGCTCTTGATTTTGATTGTTGTTCATACTCTATGGCAATAAAAGTGGAGAAGCCCTAAATCTATTTCTGATTCCAGGGGGAAACTGAGAGGAAAAGTAGTAGATTAGCTACATGATTATGATCCAGGTATGAGATGGTGATTGATAAGAATTGTGGTACCTTCAATCATTCATTCCTTCAACTAATATTTGATTATACAATTATGCTATGCCAGCCTCTCTGTCAGGTCTCAAGCAGCACTAATTATGCAGTTTGCCGGGGGTCGTGATTCTGGATGAGGCAGAGTTAGGAATATCTGGCTGACATACTCTTTGAGGAAGGCTGCTTTTATTCGGGGCAATTCTTCTTTGGCCAGGAATTTGTCAATAAGCAGCTGATAAATGCCGAGAGAAATTTCTTATCGTCTTGGGTCTCTTCATATCTGGGCATGTGCAGAAGAAATCCAGTGGTTTCAGAGGTGTCCTGCACAAGATTTTGTATTAGAAGAAATAGGCTGGACATTATGTTCCCAGAGAACCCCTTGGGGAGTTTCGGAGAGCTGGTTTCACCCTGATCCCCGTAGGGTTCTGTGCACCAGGCATATAAGTATGCATATAAGATCTTTGGTTAATCTCTTCCCACCTTCTCCTCTTCCCTCTGAGATTCATCAGTCTGTTCCATGTTTCCATGTCTGTGGTTTCCACTCCTGCATTGAGCGTCTGCCCCCTGGTGGTCAATGCGCATCATAGCTACCAACTGGTCGCTTAGGCTTTTATATATATAGACTAGTAACAGCCATACTTAATGCAATGAGCCCTTTATCCTCCCCCCAAAGAGGAAGAAGCTCTGTTCTTTGCTTCCCACAAAAGGATTTGAAGAGAAGCTTTGTGACCGACCCATGACCTGTCTATGACCCAAGGTAGAGTAGGAATTCAAGCTATAGTTCCAGTTTCTATTACCACTGTTTCAGTAACTTCAAATACAACGGTGCTAAGAAGAAAATGGGCTTGCAAAGAAGACGAAGCTATGGCAAAAAAACACAACAGCACAACAATCCTGGGCTTTTATTATTTTGAACTTGCTTTTTTCCCCTCTCTTTGGGTAGGAAAAAAGGTTGCCAGGCTCAAATTTGTTTTGAAAAAGCTTTTATAATTAATTAGCCAGTGTCCTGGAAATGATCTTGGCAGTCAAGTCAAACTTGTTCTGTAGGCTTTTCCAAGTTGGCCCCAAAAACTTTCATCCCACTGGAACTAAAGTTTCTGATTGACTGATTGTTCTGCCTGGATACCATTTGAACAGTTGCAACGGTGCCTCCCGACTTCCTGGAGCTATGTGACTTCTCAGTAGCACAAGAAATGGGTTTAATGGTCAGAGTTACGAACAGGAGCCGAAGTTCTCATTCTGTCAGCTACATCATGACAGAATTTGAGGGCATGTTTTTTATGAGATTCTGTTTTGGGAAAAACAGAAGAAACAAATCTGTGGACTGTACTTTTTCTCTCTGGCTCCGCCAAGCCTGTATGCTGATGATTTCAGTAGCGCTGCCCTGTGGAGAAATAGCTTAAAATAGCGAGCGGCAGAAGAAGACCATAGCCAGAATTTAGGTGATTCAATGCTTCAGCAATATTCCAACTTGGATGTTATATTTATTAAGCAGAAAAACACCTGGGAGAAGTACATTTAAAAAATACATCTGGAACTCATCTACTTGTAAATCAACATAAATAATCTCTTCTATTTTGTTGCTATGGACAATTTTTTTCTTCCATTATCCAATTATCTTCCCCAATTACCTTATATTGATTAGTTTTTCTTTCCCCTTATATTTGTTCTCTGTTCTTTTAAAAGCATACAAGTGGGTGGCTGGTATGGCTCAGTGATTGAGTGTGGACCTATGAACCAGGCAGTCAGGATTCAATTCTCAATCAGGGCACATGCCCGGGTTACTGGCTTGATTTCCAGTAGGGGGCATGCAGGAGGCAGCCGATTAATGATTCTCATCACTGATGTTTCTATCTCTCTCTCTCCCCCATCCTTCCTCTCTGAAATAAATCAAAATACATTTTAAAAAATGTACAAGTGTGGTGGGTGCTTATCAAACATAATGGGTTTCATTCTCATTTTCATGTGGGTTTGGAATTAGCTATGAGGATAAGAAAATCCTTCTCATCATGTTACTGCTTAGCCTTAACTCTCCGGTGGAAGTGCTGTGCTCAGTGTACAGTGACTTTAAAGGGGCTTGACATTTCTTTTCCTGGGTTTATCAATAATGCAATAACACTTCACAATTACATGACCAACCTTAAGTGAAATTGCAGTCCACAGATTGCAGCAGATGAAGTAGTCGTAGAAATACCTCACAGATTCTCAGGGAGAGACTTGGGGCTCAGATCCTTGGAACTTCTTGTCTGGTTATCGCTTCCATGATACTCATTACTTAGCTAGCTCTTCTGAGATCCTATCCATAGGTCTTCTGGTGGAATTTGGCCCAAGGTTAATTTCTAAAGTGTATTATAATCTTAGCACTATCTAGTGCCTGTTATCTTTAAATATACTTGGCTGTCTTGATTTCTATTTTTGAAGTCTTAGTCTTTTGCAGAAATAGAGCTGAATGTAAATATTTTGTCAGAGAGTAAGAGGATGAAACCATTAAGCCATGTATGAGATTTGCCACAACTGCCTTAAAATGAAAATTAGAAACATTTTGTGATTAAACAACCCCGAATCCTTTTCTGACACATACATAATGTAAGAGCAAGTCAGCTACATTCAGCTGAGACGACTTTTCATCGTTTTGAAGATTCCCATCCTAAGGTTCACATAAAGATTCCTTTAACATGAATAACTATTTTTATTATTTAAAATGTATATTTATTGTTGAAAGTATTACAGATGTCTCCTTTTTTCCCATTGACCCCCTTCACCCTACACCCTACAACCACCCCAGCCTTCACCGCACTACTGTCTGTGTCCATGGGTTATGCATATATGCATGTAAGTTCTTTGGTTAATCTCTCCCCACCCACCTACCCACCTACCTTCACTCA